AACTCCAGTCCTCTGAAAGAGCAACCAGTGATCTTAGCCACTGAGCCATCTTTCCAGCCCCTGTTGTGGGGTTTTTCCTTTCACATAAACTTTAAAAGGAATTAGAAATAAAAATATTGGTAAGCATCTGGAAAGATCTGAAATAAAGACTAATAGTTAAAATACCTGAACACAGGTTGTAAGGAAGGAAGGACTAGAAAGATCCAGTCTCTTCATGAGGTAAGGGCAAAGATATGGATTAATTATAGACTTTGTAGATTCAGAATTGGCTTATTTTCTAAAATTGGTTATGTGATATTTCTTTAATAAACTTAATGGATGAATAAATTCAATTAACTGTTTAAAAAGTGAAGTCTGTGAGAAGCTTGGGATCTGTTTGTGCTGTGGAAGATGGCCTAGGCTTTGGCAGAATGGGAATTTCTCATTCTCCTCCAAACCTTAAGAACAGAAAAGATATAGCCTTCATTTCTTAGAATTTTGGCTACAAGAAAGGATAAAAGGCTTTGGTTTCATATTTTATTTTCTTTGAATACTCAACAGGGCAATTGCTGGTATTATGCAATGGCCCAATGAACCCAGCAGTAGGACTGTCCTGGTATGATACTCCTGACAGTTTGTGCCAAAGAATGGCTGTATTCCTGGTGTGATACTATATTTAAGGTGAAAGGAACCTTTTCATTCCTCTTTCCTCACTCTCCCACCAGCAGGAAGGAGCATTTCAATATTTGTTTTACTTGCAGAAGGATAAATTATGCACAATTTAAGCCTTTCCTCATGGAGCAAGATATCTGTAGAGTTCCTGGTCTAGAATATATACTTTTTCCCCCCATATATACAAGGGTGTGGAGGGAACTCAGGTCTGACACCTGTTACTGAGTCATAATTCTAGATTTTACGTACAACAACATCACAATAAAAATAATATCAAAATAGTAACTAACTGCTAGTTACTGGGTGACATGCATGGCAAAGATTTTCTTTAGTTTTCATCACACTTCTGAAAAGTAGGAATTCTCATTCCATTGCTAATTCATTTGAGGACAGAAGGCACCAGGATAGGAGTCACCCAACGCAGCTAGACTTAGGTAACTGCTGTCTCTTTCTTGCTCCATGATAAATCAAAACACTGTCCCCGTATTCCAGGCCTTCTGCCTACAATGATGGTGTGTTAGTTATGTTTTCTGTTGCTGTGACAGAACATCAGGACCAAGGCAACTTGTAGAAGGAAGAGTTTATTGGGTTTACAGTTCCAGAGGAACAAAGGTCCATCACAGTGGGGCAAACATGGCAGGAGGCAGCCGGCACAGAAAACTGAGTCTCACGTCTTCAGGCAGGCACAGGAAGCAGAGAGAGGTGGACTGTAAATGGGCAAGCTATATACTTCCTTTTCTTCGTCAAAAAATATTTTGTTATTTTTATGTATATGAGTATATTGCCTTCATGTACGTAAGTGCCCTCAGAGATCAGAAGTACCATCAAATCTCTTGGAACTGGAACTATGGATGATTGTTAGCAGCAAAGTGGATTCTGGGAGCCAAACCTGGGTCTTCTGCAACAGCAGCCAGTGTTCTTAGCCCCTGAGCCAGCTCTCCAGCCTCAAGCTATATACTTTCAAAGCCTGCCCCCAGTGACCTGATTCCTCCAAATTTGTACTTAACTTTACACAGAACTAGGCAATCCCTTCCTTTAGTGTTTACATTCTTCAATGAATTTGAATGAGTCTAACACCCATAGGCCCATCTTTATGACCAAATTGGCACATTGTTGAGAAACTCAAGGTCAGTTTCTGTCCTTGAAATATTGCTGAAGCAATCACAACACCAGGAGTTGCGTCCCGCAGTTCTTTACTTGAGAACAAGTGTCAGTAAACTGACTGACAAGCCAGTTTCATACCATTTCCTCTTTCGGAGGAAATCTTATTGTAACACAGCCATATTTGCTTATTTACACACTGTCTATGGCTACTTTCACAGCATAGCAGCAGTGTTGAATAGTTACGACAGACCTTGAAGCTTACAGCACTGAAAATATTTACTGCCTGACACGTTACAACAAATACTGGGGGACAGCTGGTGTAGACATGGAATTGATGTTGTCCTCTTAGTACTCTGAGAGGTGAGTGTAATTCTGTATTAGTTAACGTTTTTCATTGTTGTAACTAAATATTTAGCAAGAAATGATGTAACAGAGGCGATGCTGTCCTCTTAGTACTCTGAGAGGTGAGTGTAATTCTGTATTAGTTACGTTTTTCATTGTTGTAACTAAATATTTAGCAAGAAATGATGTAACAGAGGAAGGATTTATTTTGGCTGCCGGTTTAAGAGGAGAAACTAGCCATCCTGGGACTGGGGAGGTGTCACAGCAGAAACATGACACAACTGGTCACACTGCATCTGCAGTTAGGAAGCACAGAATGGGCAGGAAATGGGCTGTACAATTTCAAGGACTGCCCTCAGTGACTCTCTTCCACCAATGAGAATTTAACTCCAAAGTATCCCACATCCTTCCCAAACAGCACTACCACGTAGGGGCCCTTTGTTGAAAACACTTAAGTCTATGGGGTGCATTTCACATTCAAACCACATTTACTTTCAAATTTTCAATAGGCATTATTGACTAAGACCAAAAAAAGGGAAATGAACCTTTGTTGATTACCTGATACAGGCTTTTGGCTAAAGCTCAGGTCCTTATATTGGGTAACAAATTTAATACTATTAATAGCCTATGAAGTACTATGACCCTTTTTGTTGCTACAAATGGAAATATTCCCCAAACATCAGAATAAAAATTTGATACTGCTAAGTAGAGAGCAATTCCAGTTGTTTAAATACCCTAAGCTAAATGAGCTCACATTGTATTTGGTACATTTTTTCTGGTGTGCTATTCAAAATATTAAGCATTAGATATAGACCAACAATCACCAAAACCAAACTCCCACTGCTAGTAATTACCTGTCAGCGGACTGTGAAGACCTCCGTGGCCTTCTGAGGAAGAGTCTGGGATGGTAACAGGAAACTGGAGAGCTTAGGAACTATATCCTTGCTAACTGATATGGAAGCATTTTAATATTTAACAACAGGTACTTGTCAGCTCATTGAAAAATAAATCTTGGAGATTAAGATCAGAAACCTGGAATTATGCAAAAATATAACCAAGATCAATGCTTGAATCACATGGCTGAGTAAACGCTGAGCCTTATGTTCACTGGAGTGCTCAACGACTAGCTGGCTCAGTGATGGTCTTTGTAATGTGAATTCAGCCAGATGGAAGGTAGAAAACAGCAGTTCTATAAGTTTTAACCCGTGTTCCCTGTAACGCAATGTCAAAATGTCTTTTCTGTCACGCACAGATTACTTGCTGTCTTTTCATACCGTTAACTGTGGCAGCTGAAGCTTCAGCGATCTAATTCTTAGTATACTGAATACCGATAAAGACGTCCTGTGTTGTTCACAGAGCTTGCATAGAGCTTCATACGAGTGATGAAGAGGTCAGCTTATGGTAAGGGTACATACATTGCACACCATAAAAAAACATAGAATTCTCTGACTTATTAGAATGATGCTATGAAATACATTATTTTACTTAATCTTTCTCTATAATAACTCGTTTTTACTTTTTAAATCTATTTTTATTCTCCATGTATGAGTGGTTTTTTATTTTATGTGTATGAGTGCACTGCCTGCATGTGTGTAAGTGTACCCACATCATGCAGGGCCCATGAGGGTCAGAAGATGGCGTTGGATCCCCTGGAACTGGAGTTACAGATGGTTGTTAGCTGCCATGTGGGTGCTGGGGATCGAACCTGAGTCCTCTGCAAGAGCAGGGAATGCTCTTAACAGCTGAACCATTTCTCCATCCCCATGATAAATCATTTTTAAAATGGATTTTTAAAACAATGCATTATTATGTAAACAAGAAAATGTTTTTCATTTTAATGAAAATCTCCATTTTGTGCAAGCAAGCTATTGTAGAAAACTATGACAATTACGCAAAAGCAATAAAAAAGGGAAAGAAAGAAAACACTAATGACTAAATGCATGCTAGAACATATATTTCAAATGGATCATGACACAATTTTAATCACAGCTATATGATGTTATTTTCTTGATTAACATTTTAACATTAGTTTAAAGTAGTCTCTTTCTCAAATATTGACTGTAAGACAGTTTCTCATACATAATTTTCTTTGTTTTAATGCATGTATGTGAATGCTTATGTTCATGTTCATGCAGGTACACATGTGTAGGGGTGCCTATGGAGGCCAGAGGACATCAATATCATCCTCAGGTATGCCTTCCCCTCCTTCGAGACAGGGTCTCTCTCAACCTGGAGCTCACTAATTAGGCTAGGCTGACTGGCTGGCTAGTGAATCTCCTGTCTCTGGCTAACCCAGAACTGAGGTTACAGGTGCAGGCCACCATGCTCAGCACTTTTTAGGTGGATTCTGGGGATCAAACTCATGTCCTCATGCTTGAGAGGCAAGCACTTTACCAATTGACCCACCTCCCTAAGACCTCATAACACAATTTTCATTCCTATATTGACTTATGACAAAGTGTTTTATAATAAAAAAAATTGAGATTTGTAAAGTGAGATTATAATAAAAAGAAGCTAGGGACAGGTGTAGAGCTCAGCAATAGACAGGCATATATAAATATATCCTATAACATACTGTGAAATAACTTTGCTCTCCTAAATTAAAAAATATGAAATAGGTTTTTTTGTGAAACATATCAATCATAAGCAGTATCACTGCTTTACCCTTCATTGCAAATGCATCTCATTCTCTCAACAGGCTCTGTGTAAAACATGCTCCTTCGCACCTTAAGAAACAGAAAATATGGCTTCTGTTTAAAAGGTTTCACCAGAGGGAAATCAGTTCTCAAGATGCCAGTAGTCCTTTCTGAGCCACAGATATTTACTGTTTTAATAACACAAATGTATTACTGAATAACTGGAAGGTACAATTGGAATTGGCATTTGTTTTTGAGGCTACTCACCACTCCTGGCTCACAGTTGTTATGGCAATGCTTGGAAGTGTTGTCAAAGGCAGTGTGGTTGGTCTGGAAATGCCATCTCCCTCGGGGGTCCTTGCCCTTTCACCTTGTCTTTGGGACAATGGCGGTAGCTGTAAGTTTCCTGAGCAGCACCTTCTCCCTCTCCAGAGGTCGATCCCCAGGGTGTTACTGGAAGAACTGTAGGATTTACTTAGGCTACATTCAAAATAATCTGTAACATTCTGAGGAAACAAAGAGGAAGAAAAAAGAAGGGAAAAAATGTGAAACTTAAATGTTTAAAATGAATAAAATACAAAACTAAATGATCGAGCTCTTGCTTAGGAAGCCTTGATTCATCATCAAGCAACTGGAATCTGACATTGATGCCAAAAATTTAAGAGACAGCAAGCAGGGCAAGGGACTGACTTCCTTCCTTTACAAACCCATCAGCTGCATGTTCCTAGAGATAGTTGGGCTCAGGGGTGGCGTTTCCGGTCTGGGCTGCGAGCCTTCTCTTCATTCTCTTTATTTTTTTCTCCGTTTTGAATTTGTTAAAATGAAATTTGAGCAACTGAAATTCATGTCAGAAATCAACTTATCATTCTGCTACATGCTAATAAACTACAAATAAATATGAATTTCTTTATTCAGTGTTTTAAAGCAAAAAGTATTTTCTATACTGAGGTATCAAAGCATTGATAGTTATAGTCAACTAGTTGTTTCTGGGCCTATGGAAAAATCCCATGTGATAGTTCAGAGGGAAAAGAGAGATACTTTATCCAGTCCTGAAGGGCCATGTTCAAATCCATGCCAAATGCTGACATGAAGGGAGCACTTCGTGAGAGGATAAAGCCTTCGTGATAACCAGGAAGACATTCATCCCTCCCTACACTTTTTGATGACTATGGTTCCTGGTACTGCTGGGATATGATTCTCAAATGAGTGTCTGCCCAAGACAGAAAATGCTACCACACTGCAGTGGCCACTGAGATCAACTAGGAACCAAAAGCTGTAACCTTTACTCCCAGCCTTTATCTTAACAGAGACTATTGAAAGCCTTGTCATCAGGTCAAAGCTGTCCAACTGACAGTCATTCTTTGGCAGTGAAAACACTGGCACTTCCTGAAAGTTCATCAAACTAGACTTAAAGAGATAGGCCTCCTCAAGTTTAAACTAAAAGTTCTCTGTGCTAATTGATACAAGAATAATGATCTTGAGTTTCAACAAATACATGATACACAGTATTACAGTCTTGTGCTGTGCGACATAAGAAGGCTTTGGTAGTAGAGAGAGGAGTGGTATCTCACCTCACAGAATCTCAGTCCTAGTGATTAATACATATGATCTGCGTAAGATCATATTCTTTATTACCCTTTTGCTACCAGAGTTAACATATGGCTTCACACAAGCTAGGTAAATGCCCTACCACTAAGCTTTATTCTCAATATCTCTTCCTTTTAAAAATAGTCATTTTTATTTCTATTTAGGTATATGTATATATATATATGTATATGTATATGTGTATATGTATGTGTATGTCATGTGCCCAGATAGGCCAGGTAGGCCAGAAGAGGGAATTAGATTCTCTGAGCTGGAGTTACAGGTGGTTATGAGGCACCTGATGTGGGTGCTAGGAACTGAACTCATGTCTTCTGCAAGAGCAGCAACTGCTCTTAACTCCTGAGCCATGTTCCCAGCTTCCCCAATCTCTTTTTACTTTTTTACTTTGAGACAGGATTTCATTAAGTTATCCAAGCTGACCTTGAACTCAGCCTTCAGCCCAGGCTGACCTTGCACTTGTCATTCTCTTGCCTCAGCCATCCTAGTAGCCGAGATTACAGGCCTGTGCCATCAGACCCAGCTCATAAAACCATAGTCTACTGACGGAAATCTGGGCAAGAAAAAGGCTCAGCAATTTTCAGGAGGGCTGCCCTCCCTGCCTGGAAATGAGCTAGCATTGTATTTTCTTATGCTTGAAATACAGTTTTGAAATACCATCCATTTAACATTCAGGGTGGAATTGAGACAGAGTAGGGTGGGGTATGGGAAGAGTTGGGGGGTGAGGAAGAGGTAGAAATGATATAAATAAGATACTCATGGATGAAATTTTCAAAAAAAATTTAATAAAAAAATTCAATATAATCACAACTTGGTAACAGGAAATCAACCAACAATCTAGAATTGACAAGAATGTGAAATTTCCTAGAATTTATCAGATTTACTACTTAATAATTAACCATAACCACTGTAGGTAGCATTTGCTGTATCCCAGGGGTGGTGTGTATATGTGTGTATGTCTGGGTGTGTGTGTGTGTGTGTGTGTGTGTGTGCATGCGTGTGTGTGTGTGTATGTGTATACACACAAACTAAAAGCTAGAAATCAAAGTTCAGATTCAAATATGCATATAAGAAAATGCCAGTTTTCTGGAAGGCAGAGTCTCAACTCTAGATAAGAAACACTGCCCCGAAGAAAATACGTGAAGATATATTGAGCTAAACTGCCAGCCACTAGGGCCTTCTGATAAAATGGTAGAATATTTTTCTCTTTTAGAAAAAGAAAATATTACCAAGCATGTTTAACTGCAGAAAGTGAACTAGATGGGTTAAGTCTTATTTGACACTTTCCACTGGACAGATAACAAACCTGTCACAAAAAGTCTTTCACATCCCTCAAAAAACTAAAAATAAAATTTTCACATGATTCAAGTATAGCACTTCTTACGATATCCTTGAAGGAATCAAAGTCAGCATTCAAGGGAGCTAGCTGCATATCTATATTTGCTGCAGCATTGTTTACAATAGCCACATTATGGAATCAGCTGAGACACCCAACCCATCAACTGAAAGAAAATATGATATGCACACAATAGTTTTATTCATGAAGAGGAATGAAACTGTGAAATTGTGTAATTTGTAGGAAAATGGATGGAACCAAAGATGATTATGTTAATCAAAATAAGCCGGGTCTTGGGGCTGCAGAGATGGCTCAGCAGTTATGAGCCCTGGCTGCTCTTGTAGAGGACCCAGGTTCAGTTCCCAGCACCCACACAGCAGCTAACAACCATCTGTAACTCTCATTCCAGGGGAATCCAACACTTTCTTCTGACCTCCATGGACACTACACGACACAGGTGCACTTATACACATGCAGGCAATATACTCATACGAAAGATAACAAATGAAATATTTTTAAAAATAAGCTGGGTTGTTAATAACTATCAACATTTCCCAATCTAATTTTAAATTTATTTTCTAAGATTATGTGATAGCTAATCTTAATTGTCAACTTGATGAGCTTTAGAATTATCCAGGCCTCTGGGCATGCCTGGAGGGTATTATCTTGATTAAGTTAATTGAAATGGGACAACCCACCTATTGTAGGTGGTATCGCTCCCTGGGCTAGAATCCTGGACCACATAAAAAGAAGAAAGTGAGCCGAACACAAGGATTCATCACTCTCTGCTTCTTGACTGTGGATACAGTGTGACTAGCTGCCTCAAGTTTGTGTTTTTGTAACTTCCCCACCATGAGGTACTGTAGTCTCCAACTATGAGTCCAAATAAATCTTCTATTATTTTTAGTTGTTTTTGTCAGGGTAGTTTATCTTAGCAACATGAAAAGTAACTAAGACAGTTAAAGC